AAAGAACAAGCTAGAGCGAGTGATTTTACCCTAGTACAAATTAGCTTTGCTACATATCATTTAAACATGATTACAGACTTGTTTTGAATGGTGTGTTACGTGAAAGGTGGATGCTAACTCTGACAAAAGAAAGTTCGAATAATTTAATTATTTGCTTTTGCAGAAGTGCAGTGTCGGAAAGGACAATGTCTGTAAAATGAACAAGAAGATTTATAACAGTTTGTGGGATGTTGGAACTGAAGTCCTAAAGGGTAAGATGGAAAAAAATGAAAGTGCTTTCCTGAATCTAAGTTCCACTTTATTTATGTACAATTTCAGTCATTAAAACATCAAAATATATATATATATATATATATCAGTGTGAAAAAATCTAACACTTAGCATGTTACACCAGCTTTGACCCTTTGGTCGGGGCAGGGATCACTGAGGAGCTGAGTGGCTAACAATTAGCATGATATGCCAGCTTCGACCACAAGAGGGCAGTAGACCCCCCCTTACCCTTCATGAAAAAAATACTGGGGAGCTAACTGGCTAACAATTAGCATGCCATCCCATGCTTTTATGTGTTGCAAAGTTAATTTAATACTCTGATATTAAAAAAAATGAAGGATAATAGATGTGATTGAAAAGTGAAAAGTTAACTTCTAATATCTCATACTTAAACATAAATTTGATAGCAACATAATTATGAATACAAAAGAATGTCAGTTAATGTATTAATCAAGGACAACATGTAACTATCATACATGATCTCTTACTGTCAGACTTAATAAGACTCATATAATTTTGATTTGACTCATCTGTTACTGCTGGAATGATGTGCTAATTGTTAGCTCCCTCTGTAATGTTTTAAACCTAGTTCACATAGGCTATGCTAACTGTTCAGTTTACAACTGATCAAAGCTGATATAACATTCTATAACATTCCAGTATTTTTGTAAGTTATACAAGTGATGCTAGGAATATTGTTTGGCACTTTTTGGTATGTTATACAAGCAGAAAGAAAAGAAATTCCTGGAACAGGAATGCATTTAAAATTATTTTTCCATCTACCCTTTAGGACGTCCATATGCTGGTCTTACTGAATTAGTCACAATTTTAAACACTGTATCAGTACATAGAACAGGGGATTGACTTGTCTTGTTTCCTAGGCCTTAGACTGCCACTAGAAAATTCAGTCAGTGTGGGTTCAGTGCGATTTTTCAATAGTGTTTGATTAAATTTTTGATAGGGAAGCCCTAAAATGTTACCCCTATCTATAAATTAATTCAGAGAAAAGCCCACCTATTAGAGCATGTGAGTATAGCATAAACCCTGCCCCCTTACTTTGATAGGATACACCCAGATGACTAGTTTTGATCATATACAGTGCTTTCCACAAAATACAGAAACGTTTTCAGTATGTCGACACTGTATCAAATTTATCATACCCGTTATGGCTGGATGGACTACTCTGATTTAGAAAACAAAAAAACAAGCCCCAACAAACAGCAAAGCAAGACGAGTTTGTGTAACGCAGCAACTGAAACTGCTTTATAACAGGTATGATTGTACTATGCAAGCAAAAAAGTAGGGTTCTGTGTGTGTGTGTGTGTGTGTGTGTGTGTGTGTGTGTGTGTGTGTGTGTGTGTGTGCAGCTGGAACTGTAAGTGTGATGTTTGAATCTATCTTACAGTCTTACTAATCAGCAAGAGGTGAGTGTTTTAAAAGAAATTGTAATTAAAGAGGAATTCCACCGATTTTTCAACGTTCCCGCATAATTACATCATTAAGAGGTAAACAAAGTCATTTAGAGTGAAATGCTTCATTGTAGAGAAACTTAGTGTGTCAGTACAGTGGAGGTGATAAGAACCAGATGTCTGAAAAGTTGAAAAGGTCCCTCAGAGAAAGTTATCACATGAAATAATTATAAATACGGTGCCTGATGCTTGAGATACAGACGTTCATGGTGGAGAGGTATGTGCAGGGCATTGTAAAGCAAAGTTGTCCCCAAAGAAAAGTTTTCCAGATTTACCACTATTTTACCATCATCAACTCTGTAGACGTGTAGGTTCACTGAACATTTTGAATAGTAAAGACAACAGTTCTGTTTATGTTCATGTTCATGTTCACATCATGACCCCTGGTTCCTATGCACATTGTACATTTCTATACAGTGACCATTTCACATCAAAGCTTAATAAAATGTCTTAATGACTTTGCTTACATTTTAACTGAATTATTTAGAAGTTTTGAAAAATTTGTGAAGTTCCTCTTTAAAGAGAAAATGAAAACATTCTGTTTGTCGCTTCCATGCTGAATGAGAGAATGCAAACTGGTTCTTTCCCTCATCTTTTTTAGTTTTTTTCCTTGTTTCTCTTCCTTAACTTGAATTCATGCCTCCGTCAAGCCATTCATGAAGACGATCTGGCTCCAGTTTTAGTGTTTTCCCACTTCAGAAATGAACCTTCTGCTCTTAAAAGTCTAGAGTTTGCTTGCTTCCCTATACCAATTAAATTAAATGACCCAATTAATTATGTAGATCCAGTTTGTTATGTAATTAATTACATTTACATTACATTCTTTCTGTGCTGAGAAGTGCAGTACTGGGAACTCAGAGACCACCCTTAACCAGTAGCGTCTCCCTAGCAGTGTAAAGAACCCGCAACACCGCCAATCAGTGTGGTTCAGCCCTACGTGTTTGAGCCCCTGCAGGTGGCTAACACAAGAAGGAAGCAGCATCTAGCTATAGTGTTAACAACAGTGTAATAAACCTTCATAACAAGCACCATAAACAAAGCATAAATAACTCACTTGCTGGGAGTTTTGGCTGGGACTTGGGGCAGCAGCTCAAATCGAACCGAAGAAAACAGCAGAAAAAAGTAATTTAGGAAATCTCACAGTGGAAAAGACCCACAGTATTCTTTCGCTGCCAGTTCACTATAGAGGCATCACAAATAGATAACAGTTAACAGTTAGAAGAAAATCATGAGAATGAATAGAGAGGGGGCTCTAATCCTTTCATCTTTGAGAGAGAGGAGAAAATCAAGCTCCACTCTTACTTCAGATCTGAAAAAATCCACAGGTGTTTCTGTCCATCCTTCCACTGTGAGAAGACAACTCAACACTATGAGTCTGAAAGGATGTTTAGCTGTCAAGAAGTCAGTACTGAGGAAAAAAGCACATCTGCTGAAAAGAATGGAAGCTGTAATAGAAACAGAGCAGACACACTGAACACTGAATGTTTTCTACTTTTTTCTCTGATGAATAAATGAATAACTAGTTCTTAATGGCTGTTTTACTGGATATTATATAAATGAAGGGTGGTTTCTGACTTTTGCACGGTACTAATTTCTGTTGACAAATCATAAAAAAGTATCTTCTGTTCTACATATCAACACAAATGTTAAATACACTGAAAGTTTAGAATCCTCACGTCAGACAGACTAATTATGAGTGAAAAATAATTAGTAAAAAATTACAATCAACCTGCTTATTACATCACTGGCAATAACTGACTTCTGAGAGTTACCGAATGAATGTTGCAGCTGGGAAAACACTAAACTGTGCAGCGCAGAAGTCCATCAGGACCATGAATTAAAACTACTGGTGCAGTGTTTGTGAGGAGGGCAGAAAAGTTAGTAATGTACAGAATAATGTATGTATGTCCTGTATGTGCTTGTGTCATGTGAGAGTTTTAAGCTTGTACAGTATATGGTCCATAAGTGCAATCTGTTCAGCTGCATGCAGAATTAAAGTGTCTCTCTAACGCAAACAGGAGTGCAGTCGGGTTTCTTTCACAAGACAACTGCTCAGCACAGCCTTCTGTTTATGTATGTATGTTGTGTGTATCTACCATATTAAAGCAGTGGTTTGGCTTAAAATCAGTTCTGCACAGTCCCCAGTTTCCCCCTTATCTCAAATGTAGTTGATATACTTTGCATACTTTGTTAGCCCCCTTTTACCCTGTTCTTCAGTGGTCAGGACCCCCATGGACCCTCACAGAGCAGGTACTATTTGGGTGGTGGATCATTCTCAGCACTGCAGTAACACTGACGTGGTGGTGGTGTGTTAGTGGTCACAGAACGCTGCCCACAGGACACTGTTGGCTGGATATTTTTGGTTGGTGGACTATTCTCAGTCCAGCACTGACACTGAGGTGAAATTTAAGATGACTGTCTTGCCAAGATACCATTTTTACAGTATATGTTTCTACATTCTTACAGGTAATACGTCATATATTGTCAGAAACCACATAAGCAAGTCTATTTGAGATTTCTTGACATAGTTTTAGCCAAATATATGATGACATGCTGCATTCACGTGCTCCTCATAAGGTGGTACCAGATGGTGAACTAGTAAATACGACTTGGAGGGTCAGAGAATAAATATTCTGCTTTTTCTTTGTTATATTAAAAAGCACACAAATCACATAGAAGCGCATCAGATCTACTTTTTCACACTCATCGCCAAGTTTACTGTTTTGCACAGACAGAATAGTGGAAAGGTTGTATCATCTAGACAATGGTGTATCGTCTTAAATCCTGAGTTTGCCACTTTTTATTTGTTATGAGTGCAATTTACAAGTAGGACAACTGACTCCACTTGAGCGCAGCATTTGGCAAGCAGTTAGCACAATGCTAACTTATGGCGAATATGATTCCATTGCTTTTTACCTACATTAGCCTCATAGCTCCAGTGCAAAACTAAAGAAGCAAGCTTTAGACATCAAACATGTCTTGGCTCATTGCCAAAAAAGAAAAAATGTGTAAATCTGATTTTTTACCAATCACTTTAAGTAAATTCTAAAACGTTTTTAAACCATTTTTATAAAGCTAACAATAATGATCCACATTATAAGAAGAAAAGGTTAACACTCAAATTAGGTTAATGTATTTGTTTTCCAGAATAGGCCCAATGTCTCGTAATTCTCTATTATTATTATTTTCTATGAACCAGATTTGTTTTTTAATAAGGATAGAATCACTTCACATTCAAATGAACGACTAGGAAGCTTAAGAGTTTTGCAAACAATTACAAAACATTTATTATCAAATTACAAACATTTTTTTAAATCCCACTTGATCAAGTTGTATATACAGAATGGAGCTTGCTAAAAGTGAATGTGTGTGTGTGTGTATATTTGGAAGCGCTGTTTTCATGCCTCGACTGTTCCTTCCTTCACTATGGCCATCGCTAGGTTTCGTGCAAGAGCCAATCGCAACAGCTCCAGTTTTGTGGATTCAATATCTTCATCCTGAAACACAACAACCAACAACCACAGTTAATGGATATGAGTTTAATCCATTCTTTTTTATTTGCTATTTTTAGTCAGTTCAGCCCTTTAAAAGCATGAGACATTGGTCATTTTCCAACATAATATTTAACCATCAACTGTTGACCTTTAAGGGCATGCTGAGAGAATTTGAGAGAATCATTTCTTTGATATGCACTCCAGGCTCATTCCAGACTAGGAACAGAACAGTTACTGGTCTGTTTACTGTGGTATAAAACTTAGTGATGATTAGGGATGCACTGAAATTTCAACCACTGAAAACAAATATACAATGAATACCAGAATCTTACACTTAACAAATAATTTAAACGATAACGTAAATAAGAAATAGCTGTTTGTTTCCTTTGTTCGGGTTCTCTTTCCCAACATGGCGATTATCGCATTTGAAGAATCGCTATGAATTATTATGTGAATTCAAAAGCATAAATACAAAGGCAAATTACATAAAAGAAGTTTTGGAAGTTTTGGTCAAGATTTTCATTTTGGTGCATCATTAGTGATAAGCATACTGTTTCCAATAACTGTGTACATTTACCATTTTTTTAAAAATGTGACCATGGAAGTAAACAGTCTACTAGTTTACTTTGTTGTGTTTTGTTTTGTTTTGTTTTTTTAATTTTCAGTATATTTTAACTTGAGAGAGATTTTTTCCATTTAAAAAACAACTGTGTTTTATTATAGTTTTATGAGTGGACAAAATAAGCTCCATCCATTTTAGAAAATCCCCTCTCACACGCATTTCAGCCAGAAGGTAAGAGCCACACTTTATATACAAACACAAGATCAGATTGTAAATTAACTTATAATACTCAGTTTCAGTGTAGCTTTATAGTTCACATTTTTGTTTACTTCTACATAGATATTGCCACTAATCCCTTCAACAAGCACTGCTGTCTTTTATAAACAGTGGGAATTAAAAAGAAAAAAAAGGTTTTGGAAATTATAAAAAAATAAATAAGCACAAAAATAATTATTGAAGTTATGTTAGCATTTTTTTCGAATTCTGTATCAAAAATTACTGTGATGCAAAACTGTAAATTCATATTGTAAAATTCATATTGTACAAAGTCAATGGTTCCAAGTTTTCTGTAGCCTCTTGCTTTTGCTCTCATTCCTATAGCTCATTTATTCCTGTTACATTGGAGGCTCTCGAGAGGAACTGGAGCGTTTCACTTTGCTGTTGCTGTGGTTAGTTCGCTGCTTATTGATTGATCCAAAGGACTCTTGCCAGCACTGCCCAGCATAATGTTCTGTGGGTATTAGTGATTGCTTTAAAAGCCATTTAAAAGCCTCTTTTGAATGAGAGGGCTACAATCTTGAATTCTATCATAGGAATATACAGCATGTGAGCAACTGGGCTTCAGCCTGCACTGCTACAAGTGTCAAACTAAAAACAAATATATTAACTGTGTTTAAAAACATGAGCGGCATTAATAATGTATCATGTCAACTTGGACAGCCCTAATTTTAACAATACCAAAATAATACACCATATGTAATAGTCACTGACATTATGATAAGACTTTCCATATCATCACGTCCCTATTCAAGACACACAGGGAGAGAAAGCTCATGGTTTGGTTTATACGAACCAGGCTGTAATGTTTTTTTCTTTACCTGTGCTGGCCGCTCTGGTTTAGTCTCGCTGTTGTCTGAGGTCAGCTCCTCCAGACAGAACATGAGTTCATGAGTCTGATCCACTGAGAAAATCACCTACACAGACAAAAACATGCGTCATGGAGAGCCACAACCAATCTACAACATTCTGAAAAGTATCAGTACAAGTATTAAATTGGCCAGTAATTAGCCAAAGCATGTCCAGTCAGTAAGTATGATTCTGAAATATACATGAACAAATCAACTTCAGTTGAGCTGAATATGATCAATCAGGCAAAATTTAGGCTTTCAGATCAGGAGTGCTAATTGAGATTTAGTCAAAGTCTCTGATCAGTTCATGCCCTCCAAATCCTCATGGGTGTGTTTATATGTGCAAAAGGTGAGCTAATCCAAGATCTTCACTATCACTCCTTGGTGTCCTTGCACTTTTGAAATGGTTATTCATCAGTACTCCGACAAAAGAGACTGATGCAATCAGTAGGCGGAAGAGAAAAGGCCTTTTGCTGATGCTGTCAAAAGAAAACTGCCAACAAAGAAGCTCCGGTCTATAGTACGAAAGAGAGGCTGCATGCTTTGTAACTTTTCCGGCACTGTGCAGATTGCTGAAAGGCTTCTTTATTAATCCTCCCTTAGAAGTCTAGATTTATTATTCCCTGGGTTTCCATCCATGAACTGTATGCACATTTTAGCATATCGAATAAAGAAAGACTTGATGGAAACAGCAAATGCTGAAGAGAATCGTCAAATTTAGCATAAAAGTTTGCAAACTTGCTTGAGGTGGTTAAATTTTTGCCAGTAAAATAGAAAAGTGCAAAATTTTAATTAAAAACCTATCTACAGGATAAATAATGGAAATAAACAGAATAAAGTCTGACTCATGACTGTTCATGTGTTTCGTTTTTGTCAGTTGTAGCTATGAAACGTGTAGATACTAGTTACTTACTAAGAGAATTAAAATAAAAATAAGATATTAGACAGTAAGTAGACATAAGATGCCTGTGCTGATAAATGGACTTTTCCTGAGCCACTGTTTGCATTCTGTCTTTATACTCTTACCATGAAGAAAGAAAAAAAATACAGCCATAAATTGAAACAAAACAGCTGCTCAGCATTTAAACGTCTCTGAGAACTCACTCCATATTTCTCACAAGTGTTTTTATGGACGTGAATGCAAAGAGTTATTCTTTTATACAGAGCTGAAGGAAACGCAGCCCAATTTGCATACCGCTGCTCTCAGAACAAAACCTCATATGTCCATTTTTTTGGTTTTTCAGTTTTTTGACATTATTTGAAAATGCCTGTTGTCCTTTGCACTGGGTGTAAATATCACGATGAACTGACCAAAAGAAAGAACCCAAAATTACTTTCTGGTTCCGTTGATTTAAATTAAAAGTTAACTATGTTTTTTTCCTGACATTTCAGGTATTCGCTTTATTTATTCTCCAACCAGATGTCATCAGTTTACAGTGAAATAATTATGTAATGTATTAATGATGAAACGGAGTGCAGAGGTTCACTTTGAATGAGAACTATTTGTTAACGTGTAAAACAGCTGCTCCCAAAGACCCCCTGCAAAGCTCACTACTTCATCAAGATAAACCTCTTCTTCTGCAGCGTTAGTGCTGTGACTAAAACAGTTATAGATGGGCCTTTGAAGCTCGGCACTGTGAGCGTATGAGTTTACCTCTTTTTGCTCCAGTAGTGGCAGTGCATCGGTGAGCAGGGTCATCCAGAAACTTCGAGGGGCTATCTTGGCTGTCATTAAAGACAGGAGGAGCTTGGCGGCTTCTGTAAACCTCATCTCACCATAGAGCCTGTGGAACTCCCGGTATTTCCCTATACACACACAAATATTGTTAACAAAATGATATTTGTTTAAGAGAAGAACACTTAGCACAACACCAAACTGATGGTGCTCTCTTTGTATGGAGAAAGACTGGAGAAGAATACCATCCAGCTGCACTAAGACTACTGTAATGCACAGATGTGGAAATGTCAAAGGCTAAATGAACACATCAAATTACAACACAGATATGTAAAATGTCTGACTGCTTTCTGATCAAAAATCAGATCTGATTAATAAGTTTTGTATTATATTTTCACTGTGGGTGCTGCACTCTTTCACTCAGTTAAGGTTAATTAAAGTGCTTTCTGAGGCATGTGACAGCAGGGTTCACTTAAGGTGACTTTGCTATTTGTCAGTATGTTCTGCTGAGAGGGATTGTCGTTGCTCTGTGGCTAATGAGAACAGATCACAAGGTAGCACAAGCCTCAGGCACTTCTAAATGAAGCATGGGCTTCTCAACTTCCCATTCTTCATCTAAGTACAGCTATGTATTTCCCATTTCTCCCTCTCTCATGCTTGCAGACTCCAGCTACCTAGGAATGTGAGTCTGTCACTCAGCAGCATGGCGGGCCCCAGGTTGTCGATTAGATCCAGGTCAGAGAAAGAGCCCCTCGTACAGTAATCCTGCAGAAACCTGCACAAACCGAAATGCATTTAAACATCAATCAACAATGCCAACTTGCAGATTCTAAAAGCACATGTATGCAATGTTTGTATGACACAAGAGACAGACACACTGACCTTTCAGAGATAAGAGTGGCGAAAGCTGCATCTTTAGCTCGAATACTCCAGGACAGAGCAGAACCCAGCCTGTTATTACTGAGAGCCCTCTTAGCCATGATCTTACAGATACTGCGCACTGCAACACACACACACACACACACACACACACACACACACACACCACACACACACACACAGTTATTCCTTTAAATCTAATATTATTGTATTATCCATACATGTTCATTGTTGCATAGTGAGACAAGTATCAAAGAATGAATATAGGCTATATGGCCAAAAGTGTGAGGACAAACCTATAATTATTGAATTCAGCTGTTTCAGCCACACCCATTGCCCATAGCCATGCAATCTCCATAGACAAACATTATCACCAGAATGGGTCATATTGAAAAGCTCAGTAAATTTAAATGTGGCGCTATCATAGGATGTCACCTTTGCCGCAAGTCAGTTTGTGAAATTTGTGCTCTGCTAGATCTGCCCCACTGTATAACCACTGTAAGTGCTATTGCTGTGAAACAGTAGCATCAAGCAGCAATAACAGCTCAGCCACAAAGTAGATCACACAAACTGTCAGAACAGGGCCACCCAGTGCTGAAGCATGTAAGAAAGTGTTTCATGAGTGCAGTTAGACTGAGTTTGGGAATAGTTCAGAAAAAAAAAAGAATTTTTTTACATATATAAATGTGGCAGGCAGAGGGGCGTGGTCTAGCGTCACCTGCTGAACTGAGAGCGAGGCAGGGCGAAGCAGGGCGAAGCAGCGGGTTATTAGGCTGTGTGTTTCACCTTTGTGTGGTTTTCCTATTTAGGTGGATCTCTCTTGCAGTGAAGGGACAGCCTTAGAAAGACAGATTGAGACTGAGAATAACTGCGCAGCAGCAGCAGCAACTACAAAGAAGCTGGTTCACAGCAAGCATTTAGTCTTTGTCTTTTGGCAATCCAACAGACAGATCTGGGTTAGACAGATGCCAGGAGAATGCTGCTTCCCGGAATGCATAGTGCCAAGAGAGCAGTTTGGCGGAGGATGGATAATGGTCCAGGGCTGTTTTTCAGGGTTTGGGCTCAGACCCTTCGTTCCAATGAAGGGTGATGTAAAAGACATTTTTACACAATTATATGCTTCCAACTTTGTGGCAACAGTTTGGGGAAGGCCATTTCCTGTTCCAGCATCACTGAGCCCCCATGCACAAGTTAAAATCCATAAAGATATGGAGTGTGGAGGAACTCCAGTGGCCTGCACAGAGCCCTAACCTCAATCCCACTGAACACCTTTGGGATGAACTGGAATGTTGATTGCGATCCATACCTTCTTATCCAACATCAGTGCCCAATTTTACCAATTCCATTCTGACCGAATGGACACAAAGTCCCCAGACATACTCCAAAATGTAGAAAGGTGGAGGTCTGCTACCTGACCTGAGCCTGACCGAGCTTTGGCAGGATTCAGGCTGTTTTTTTTTTTTTCAACAAACAACATGGGGCTTGGATTGGGAACAGGCCCGTTTTCTAATGAGTGATTTATTTTTTTTATATGCATAACAGATTTTTTTTTAATTTTGCACACTTTTATGCCTTTTCTTTCTTGTCTTCTCTAACTTTCTCTCTTTAGTTTATAGGTTTGTTAACAGCTGCATTCGTGCATTCGGAATAGCTCCCAAGTCTGAGAGAAACTGGGAATTAAGTAAGCAGTAATCAGTGGCGATTACACCATAAATATAAGTGGGATTTGTTGGGTCAGTGGAAAGATTTCCAGATTTCTAGCTAAGCTTGCCAAAAGCATGTTAAGCATTCCTGAAAGGAGCAGCAGTAGAGAGTTGAAAAACTTATAGCTTATGAGAGGAAGGTGGACAATGTTTTTTTGCCAGGTACAATCAACAATACTATCACATTTATTGATCAATGCTGTTGGTATATTACAGATGTGTACAATGCCAGTTTATCTTAGTAACTCAAATGCTTAGTAACAAAGCAAAGTACTGTAAAACCACGTCTGTGATAATCTCTCTCTGTTAGTGTTCTGAAACTGAAGTTAGCTTCAATTCGAATGTTCCATTCCACTTTAAACGGCACCATTAGAATGTGACTTCTGCACCATTTAAGGCGGAACGGAAATTTTGAATAAGAACCTGGCGAATAAGAATCCAACTTCAGCCTCGTGTGTCTGAACAGATTAAGGACAGATTTAGACCTGATCGGGTTGTGCTTCAAGGTCGTGGGTAGAGGTCAGGTTCAGGCTTCAATTTCATGCCTGTTCCGACCTCTAGTGTGTAGAGTGTTACCTTGCTCGTTCATCTGTCTCTGTTCACAGATCCTGAGCACTTTCAGTGCTTTTCGCTCCGTCTCCAGTGGGACCCGCTCAATCTGCAGCTCCAGATACACACGGCCAAACTCAGGGCAGTGGTCAAAGTAGTCCACCGCCAGCTGCCACAAACTGAAACAAAAACCATTTAGAGGCTAGTTAAGAATGATGAGAGAAACCAGAGAATTTAATAGATTTTTAAACTGGTAGGGCTGCACCAATGATGACTCTGCTGCAGTTGATTTTTAACAGTGGTATATGACGCATTGAGTGTAAAAAATAAAGATTCTGCTCTTACCTGTGATGAGAGAAGAGTCCAGAGGCATACTCCAGCACCAGGAACTCCCTCAAGTTAGAGCCAAAACTTCAAAAACAAAACACAAAATTAAGCCATTTTAGAAAATGAGCTTAAGCTTTTTTATTTTTTAGGTTATGGGTAAAGATGAAGTGCAGCACTGTAACTGATTAATCCACTCTCCACCCATAAATGTGGTCTTTTGTGGCTACTGCTGCATAGCTGAACTAGATACAGAACATTGTCAAATCCCATTCAACATAATGAGAAATGGAAATGACAAATTCAGCATCATGCTCAAAGTTATGCAATTACACAATTTACATCCAATCAATCCCAACCATGTGAGCATACACACATGAAAAATAACTAACATTTGAAATTAATAGGACAATCAAAATGTAGGGATTTTGACAAATACACTGAGTTGCGCCATACAGTGTCTCATTAGGTAGAATGGTTTTGTAAAGTTTGTCCAATATAGCAACAGCCTTGCCATGAAAGAATGCATTTGTGGGCGGGGCATGGATAGGGGAATTGTAATTAGTTGTTAAAATGCCCATTCCACACAGTGGAAACCTACCAATAACAGTTCTAATGGGGTGTTTACACTATCACAATAAGTAGAGTAGAAGGATGATGACAGCTTTAAGCTTTATCATCTGCAGTTATAATAATGACCACAAGGGTTAAGGCCAGTGTTAGAGTGAAAATTACTTTTGTTGTTAATTCTAATATCGTAGTGAAATACCTTTAACCTTTATCCAAAAAACTTTTGCAAACATATCTGAATTCACTTTAAATTAGCAACTGAGTTTAATCTGCTTCTGTAAAACTAGTGACTGGTGACTTTCTTACTGTAGGTTGTGAGATTGCAAAAGCTTGCAGTGGTCCAGCAGGTCCGTCAGGTGAGCCACAAACCACCAGTTGTTGAGGGCAATACTGGAGATCAGACCCAAAATGTTCCATGTTAATAGAACTGTACAGACTGATGGACAGGCTGAGTGTGGAAAGCTTACTGAGTAAGACTGGCTCACCTGCAGTCTTTGATGACCTGATGAAGGTCGAACTCAAAGGCGGCCAGCAGAATGCTATCAAGAGGCTCAGGGGCACTCCGCGAGTCCAGGAACATGTCCATACTCGACTGAAGCACATAAACAGTTTTAAAAAAAAAAAAAACACAACATGATTAATAAATGCTTTCTTGAAGAAGACACCGTGAAACATTTTTGCCCCAGACACTCATGACACAAAAATTAAAAAATAAAAACAACTGTTTTATGAATACATTTAGAAGTAGCTGAGCAAAACTATAATAAAAATACATTTTACAGATATCAATATGTCCAGTTTTATCTGAATGTAGCAGCATAGCGCCATGTCTGACTGTACCTGGGCGTAATAGTGTAGCTCAGATGGTTTGACTGTCGGGTGGAAGAAGAGCAGCCGGCTCACTAGAAAATGATACCAGGTGCCCAGCAGCTCCTTATGCTCCAACATTGTATCCTCATCACCAACCAGAATCTGAGCAGAGAAGAATGAATGAGTTATGTGAGCGACTGAAGGAACTCATAGCTATTTGAAACAAAGCTATTCTGCCAAAAGTGCTGATTCTCAATTTACAATTAATAACATATTTGTGTTTCATTTTTTTGCAAGGTCAATTTTAACACCAAAACAACTCAAAAAAGTTGAAAGTGCAATCCAGAACCTGTTGATACAGAATGTAGAATTACTGTGAATGCAAGTCATTACATAACAACATAATTCATTATGTAGTAACACATGTAAATTTAAATAGCATTAAAAAAGAAGCAGCATTGAAAGAGCAGTTAAATCTTCGTGAGAGTATGGTAGGACTACTGTGTCCGGAGAGGTGGGCAGGGTTTGGGCAGAGGGTTCCTCACCTTACAGATGGTCTCTAGGTGACGGTTGCTAGCGAAGGAGTTGTCTTGGAGACAGCGGTCACACTCCTCATGCCAGTGCCTCCATTTCACGTCAAACTCTGTGAGGGTCTGAGTGCCGCCAGGCTGCAGGAAACACACACACACACACACACACAATTAATTCAAGTCACTTTCCATGCATTATTTCTCTGCAGCTGACCAAATCCACAGTACACGACATTCATTCACAGATTTAAAGCCTCCTCCTAAACTACATTTCACTGTTAAAGGGCTGTCAATTTACTTTGTTAATCAGTTTACGCTGTGAGCTATAGGCTCCTGCTTGCACACACTACTGACTGCCAAATGGAGGGCTATGTCTTTGATTTGCAGTACTATACTGGAAGACGCTGACATCACATGATCAAATCAGAATCAGGGCAGAGTCTCCACACCACAATCCTGCCCTACACAAACCAGAGACTCCTTACTTCGGTAGGGTCTTCCCACCACATAACATGGCCAGGAACTGCCTAGCTTGCCAGGAAGAGGCCGATTGACTGACTTGCAAAATGACCGTTCATGGCCTGCTGCATGTAGGGGGAGGCGATTGGCAAATTCCACGGGAATGTGCACGGGCACTCGGTTAACTGCTCGAGGTCCAGTATTCGTACACAGAAATCACCATTTGAGTTTTGTTTCATCACAAGAAAACGAACAATTTAACAAAATGATGCTTTTTTGTTTTAACAAGGCTGTAACATCATGGGTTTGCTCGTATTTGTGAGTATGTTAGTATATTACGCAGTGCCAAAGTGGTGCATACTAGTGCCTCAACATGGCACATTGTTGAGAACAGGTTGTTAAGGACGTGATTTAGAAGGCAGATGTAGCACAGCTGTGTAGCCAACAGGTGTGCACTGAGTTAATAAAACATGAAATTAAGTTCCACAGTTTTGAAGCAGAATAAATGAAAGAAGCCTCTCCATGTTTTCTGTATTTAACAGAGGGTGTTTGCAGAAGGCCAGTATCTGCAGATCTAAGATCACGTGTTGGAACATAGACAGACATTATATTTTCTAATTTATCCTGAAAGATACAGACAGGCTGTGCAGTTCTTTTTTTTTTATGAGCTCTTTTTTTTGTTTTTGTTAGGATCCGTGCTGCCACATTTTGTATGAGTTGTGGAGGATGGATTGTTTTCTCAGTAATCCCGGCAAGAAGAGCGTGACAATCATTATTTCTGCTTGTAACAAAAGCTTGAATAAGTTTCTCTGCGACGCTCTGAGACTTTAGCAATATATCTCAAATGATAAAAAGCTACTTTAGTGATTGTGTTTACATGTGGGATAAAACAATGCCAAGCTTCTCACTAAGCATGTTTCTACCAAGTTTTTGTACCAAGGATCAGTATATCTTTTTTCTTGATTTAGCTGTAGAACACTTTATGACATCCACTGAGAAATATCTGAAACACAGCTGGTAAGCCTGTCTATGGAGTCTCGATTATCAGAAGAAACTGAAATGTATAACTGCAGGTCATCAGCATAGCTATGAAACTTGATATTATGTTTCCTAATGACATCACTCAGAGGTAACGTACAAAAAATGAAAAAAAGCAAAGGCTCCAAAACTGAACCTTATGGGACTCCACAAGAAATGTTATTTTTTTCATGAATGATTTCCCAGTGAAACCAAGAACTGTCTATTCATGAAATATGATTTAAACCATTCTAAAACTGTGCCTGAGAGGCTGACCCAGTATTCAAGACAGTGGATTAGAATCTTGTGATCAACGGTATCAAAAGCTGCACTAAGATCCAATAAGACCAAAACAGAAGGATTCTGTGCATCAGCGCTGAGCCTGAGGTCATTCACAACACAAATCAATGCTGTCTGGGTACTATGGTTAGAACAAAAACCTGACTGAAACTTCTCATAACACTTGTTTGATAATAGATATACATTTAATTTTCTAAGACTTCAATTAAAAAAGAAGGTTTAAATTGGTCTAAACTGATTTAGTATGGAAGGATCTACGTTACTCTTTTTTTAGTGGAGGCTTCAACAAGGCAGTTTTAAAAGCATGCGGAAAAGCACCTGCTTACAAGAGTAAAACAGAACAGAACATTTTACAGTAGTTGATGTATCATTTTGAACACAATCAAAAAACCTCTTAAGGATGAATTTGTTTGTAAGTCATAAAATCCTGATAATTGACAAGAAAAACACATCATTACTAATGTAGGTGGCTCATCAGGAAGGTTATTTGAACTTTTTTAGTTTACATCTGAAGAGGCAGCCTCCGTTACTCATCCAACTTAAAACTACAGACTTTCCTCATTTTTTTTTAATAATAAAACACTTTTTAAAAATATATTGCTCTGCTTGCTGCTAATTTTTATGTAATGGACATATCTTGCTTTGAAAGGCTCACCATGTTCAGCTCAGGTAGCTGTTCACAATCGCGAACTAGAATTTAATTGGAAAACAAAACTTTGTTTCCAGTCCACCTCTGTGTGAAAAAGATACCAGATGCTCCAATTCTGTGTGAGTGGAGTATTGCTGAAGTTTAACAATGGCCTCCTTACATTAAATATGGGCATCTTCAGCAGCAGGCTGTCCATGAGCTGGTAGATGGGTCTGGAGGCAGGCTGCAGATTTGCCTGCTTCATCAGAATCTGCCGAGCCTCGTCCATACGCCCTTGTAGAACAAAACTGATCACCTGCAACGAGAGAGGAGGACAGAGATGTAGGAGGTGGAGAGAGAGAGGTACAAGGTCAAAAATGGAAAGACAGCTTTCCATGTCAAAAACTTGCCTGAACCTATTTACCACAACCTCTTCCCATCTGTTCCTCAATCTCTTCATTCAAAGACCTGCTTAAATCATTTGTTGTTTCTCAACACTTTAATTCTCCTTGTTGATGTTGTCTTTATTTATAATTGTTTAGCTCCTTAAACTCTAGGTTGATATTCAGTTATTAAACATTAGCCTTGTTATTTAGTAACTACTATTAATTATTCAGATACTATAAATTATGAAGTGTGGACCCACAGACAGACCCTTGGAATTTAAGAAGTTAATGCCTTGTTTTGGCATAAGTGTGTAGTGATTTTGGGTTTGAGAAATGCGAGTGTTAATATCTGATGAAATCGATTTGATTACAATTTTCTAGGAAACGATTCAATGCATCGTGAAATCTCAAATTTCATCACGATTCAATCAGCCACACTGCATGCTCTATTGATATTACTGATTAATTGATCTTTTATAATCAATTATAATTTGTCTTAACTTTCTAAATTTGGTGCAGTTGAATCACCACCTTTTTCACATCTGCAGTTCCACAGAAATTAAATTATTATTACATTATTATTAGTGTTGTTGTTATTTTTAGTGTTATTATTTTGTACTTAGATAATCAAAAAATATGTACTGTAAAATATGTTTTATCACTGGTATTATTATTATTTATATTATTTACTCATCCAACATAAAGACTACCAACTTTCCTCAGCTTTTTTGAATAATAAAACATGTTTTTAAATGTACTCTTCTGAAAGGCTCACCATGTTCACTGCAGGACTGAAATTTAACTGGAAAAAACTCTTTTTACATTACTGGTCAAAGTTCTTAAAATGAGTAGTGAGTCAGCATGACTGACTGTATGTACAATCAACTGAAGGGTAAATTTTATGCTTGTTTGAATTTGTCTGTGATAAATTGCCACCAAAATTTCCGAAACAGGCTTCCTAGGAAGGCCAAAGAAATTTTTTCAACTGGCTTTAGCTTTTGTACGTACCACTTCCCAGTAGGCGTGATGGTGAGTAGGGCTTTCACTCTGCAGGACCTCCCTGGCTTTCTCATCCACATCAGCCTTGTGCAGCCGCACCCAGTCCAGCAGGTGCAGCAGCAGAATGCCAGCTTTCACAAAACACAGGATTACACAATAACAGGGTATTAAAACCCACTGACAAAATGCCAATTGTTACAATTTGATAGTGATGTTCAAGTCTTGAATAAGCCTTGAGTAAGGTGAACCTCATCAGGATCCCTCAATTAAATAAAGAACAGATTTCTTTAGGAGAGACTAACAGACTGTAGCACTTTAATGTGTTACGTGACAGAAAAAAAATGTACCTGGTGCTGCGTCAATGAAAAGCACTTCACATAGATTCCAAATGAGCTCAATAGCCAAAAGAATAGAAACCTAAGAATGAGAAGCAGACGTACAATATACAAGAATACAAATACAAGTAAAAAAACATTTACAATTAGCTAGATGTTAACATAAGGCAAGGCAGTATGGCCAAAAATATATACATTTTTGTACACCATTCAACATAACAAAATAAATTCTGTGCATTCAGATCCTTGACTTTCTGGTGTAACTGACAAAATGATTTTAAATAAAAATGTACAATTTAAGGACCCTGCACTTTGTCTGTGGCTTTACATTCACCATTCAAAGCCTTTAAAACCATCTCAACAAAACAGAAATAAAGTTGTTGTGCAGCCCTTATGCCTGTTTTTGCCACAATCTCCTCAAACTCACAGCCTACTCCATTTTTTTAACACTGAAAATAGCTAGTAAGTTAACACTGCTATCTGTCCCGCTGTGCTGTGCTGCAGTGAGTGAACGCCTAGACTTCTTCTCTCCCCATCTAGTGAGTAAAAGGCACACACACTGCCTACTAGTGCAATAAAGAGGCAAAAGCAGCAGCAAATTATTAGTTATTTGCTGCTAATATCAGATTGAGAGACAGAACAGCATAATAATTTTATCATTCTACTGAAAATCTCAAAATGAAAAATGTTTGTAAAAACTGATTTAATTATCATTATTGTTGTAACATCAGCCTATGTTATTGTGTATGACTGGGAAGTAGTACCTGACTGCTGTACTGTGTGTCCTGAGTTGACACTGAAAGAGAAAGACATCAACTTAGGTAACAAAAACAAACAAGAACAAAACAAAAAACAAACATCACAGTAATAGTTATGGTGTAAATGGCATTATACAGCACATACCTGCAACCTGCTGGAGTTCCTCCATACATGCTCGTATTACTGATCTGTAGTTTTTACTGATGCTGACAAACCTGCAAAGAAGACAAAGTACAGTACACAAACACTGGATGCAAAACCACATTAAGGATCCCTTCAGCAGCAATGAATGGTCATTTTCAGGGCGGGTAAAGAACTTTTTGTATTTACTGTGGTTTAAGATGAAAGATAATTTCTCTTCACTTAATAATGCTGTGGTTTTGAATACTGTACATAAAGTAGCCTTTGTTCTTACTGTGGTTTCTTGTTCTTGCTGGGCATGTCCTCTTTGATATTCTGAAGCCCAACAAAGATGTGATGGGACTCGTTGAAGAGTTTGCGCAGGATGGGAGAGTAAATGTCTTCATCTTTCCGCACCACGTGGACAGAAAGAGAGCCAGGCCCTGCAGAACCAGCACCTGTGGGTTTGTGTGATACAGAGACAGAGAGTCAAAGTGTGGAGTACAGACCTGCACAAGGTCCAAACACTTGATTTATACAAATGATCAGAATGGAAAGCACATTACCTTGTAATCTGAAGTTTGTCTCGTACACCAGGATATCTCCTGGCCCCCACTCAAACCCCACATGCTTTTGTTTAAGCCCCACGCCTGGGATTAACTGTAAACAAATGTAAGACGAATTCAACACTCTGCCAAACAGTGATCAACTAGAAGAACTAAGTATGATAAAGTTATTTAGTTCTTTATGACCTATAATCTATGTAATATATATCTATATAATCTATAATAAACTGTTGCAGAGATTCATGACAGAAAACACAACTTCGTGTCAATAAGCGCTGCTTAATAGTACTTTTGTAATCATGTGTAATATGACAGTATACTAATACACTTAATGGAATGACAGTACACTATCGTATTCATATACAAACCTTAACTCCCAAAAAGTTGGGACAGCATGCAATATTAAAATAAAAAACAAAAAGCAGTGATTTCTAAAATCAATCTGATCTGTATTTAAACAAAATCAGTACAAAGACAAGATACTGAATGTTTTACCTTATTAACTTCATTGTCTTTTGTAAATACAAGCTCATTTTAAAATTGATGCCTGCCATGTTCCAAAAAATGTTGGAACAGAGGCGATTAAAGATATGCAATGTTGTAAAATGTGTAAAAACATATTGAACAGGTGATGCCATCATGCTTGAGAATAAAAGAAGCATTAAGAAAAAAAACTGTCCTTTATGAGCAAGAATGGGTCAAAGTATTTCACCTTCTATAGTGGATAATATCATAATATCAAAGGCGAGGCCGAAACCATAGACTAATGCCCGTGACCCTTGACCAGCATGCTTATGTGATATCATCACATGGGCTCGGGAATACTTTGACTATACTTCTGAATAGTTGTCAATAAACACTGTTCGTTGCTGCATCCACAAACGAAAGCTAAGATTGTACTATGCAAAGCAGAAGCCATATTATGTAAACACCATCCAGAAATGTTGCTGACTTCTCTGGACTCACATGAATGAGCTCATATGAAATACACTGATGCACAGTGGAAACATTGGTCTAACGAGTCGACCTTTCAGATTCTTTATGTTGTGTAAAAAAATAACCATGCAGACTGTTAGTTTTAAGTTCAAAAGCTAGCGTTTGTCATGGCATAGGTAAACTTCACATCTGTGAAGGCACTATTATCGCTAAAAGATATACACACAATTTGGAGAAACGTGCTGCCTTCTACATGACGTCTTCTTCACGGATTTCCAAGCTTATTTCAAGAGCACGGCTCACATTATTACAGAGATTACAGGTGGTAGACTGGCCTGGTTGCAGTCCAGGTCTGTCTCACATAGTAAATGTTAGTCGCATTATGAACTGCAAAATACAGTTGCACAGGTAAAGACTTGACGGAAGAATGGTAAAAAAAAAATCTACTTTCAAAACTGGATCAGTTCATGTCTTAAATTCGCAAAACGATTAATGTATATAATGCAGTTAAAAGTAAAGGTGATGTAACGCTGTGGTAAACATGCTCCTGTTCTGTTTTTTTGCAACGTTTCACAGGCATCAAATTTTTGTTTTAATGCAGATCAAACAGAATTTACTAACAACTGCTTTCTGTTTTTATTAGCATTTCACATACTGTCCCAGCATTTCTGAAATTGAGGTTTTTACTATGATAGTATACAGGTGTACTGTACACTCTGAGAGTATACTGGTGCATTTGCCAAAGAAACTCTGGGAGATCTTCTAAAATGCATGTTATGGATGTATGTTAACCTTCAGTTATTAGTGATGAAAACTCATTTTTTATGTGAAGCTAATATGCATTACTAAAGAAACACAAAACAAAAAACAGCTTGTTATCAAGGCGCCAAATAATCTAAGGCTAAAGTTGAGCCTGTCCAACAGGAGACATAACGTTAACGTATGAGTAGGGCTGGTCAATATGACGATATACATTGTAATTGTGATAAATTATGTCACAATACAATATAATATGCTTTTCTATCGCATTTATCAATACTTGTAGAACACTGACCAACTGCAAGCTTCATTATAAAGAGAACAATATTAATCCCGTTTAACTGGATTTAGTGCTACACAGCATGCCAAATACTGAATAAAAATCACTGTATTTACAGTTTTTGGCAGTATTTAAGATGTAGCACTATTGGCTCTTTTTTCTCAGTTCCAACTGATCTGATGTTATGAAAAAACATAAATATCGTGACGTCTCATGAAGATTAAAAAATTCTTTAAGTATCGCGATATCATATTTTAGCTATCTCGCCCACCTGTACGTCTGAGCCATTTCTGCTGGAGAATAATTACATTAAGGGCTTAAATTATCCAGGTTTTCTGAGCATTCTTGCACAGTGAAATACTGAAGGCCTGCTAGTGAAAACTCAGGAGAAATAAAAGAACTGGAAAGTTTTTTTTTCCTAATGGTTTTTGCTGATTTCTACGCAACGTGCAAATAAACAGATCAAAAACAGTAAGTTAGCACCGCCCTAAGGGTTGAATAAAACCATCTTTCCCTTCTGCTTTCGCCTTATCTTATAGCCTTATGGATCCATAAGCTAGTCAGCTCTGCCAGTACATTTAGTGAGGTGGGCTGTTGATCAGGTAAAATCAAAGAAAACGACTAAAAGAAAAATTACGTTCAACTGTTCGGACGCAGCCTGTCAAAAAGAGAGCACCACTCGGCCACTAAAGCCACACGAGGCAGCCAGACTGAGCGCACTGCCACTACTCACCGTGGTGGTCGGCTCTACATCCACCTCCTCCATTTAATCAATACTGAAAAGGGAAAATAAAGTCCACGTTGATCAGAAAAGTGCAGTTTTCAGCACGAACACTTGACGATTTGACCGCCTCAGTCACTCGCAATGAGGACCCCAGCGATGACGCGTTTAGGAGCGCTCACACAACGCCTGTGTGAAAAGACCAGACAGCGAGAAAGCGTGTTTGGATGTTGAGACTGAGATTCCTTAACAGTAGTGGTGATAAGAACCAAGAGTCACAATACCTACAACACAAACATAGTCATTCTGTTTACTTTCCAGTGTCTCCTGGTTTTATTTATAGGTGATGCTGGTGATGGTAAAATAGAGGTAAATCAGAAAAAAATATTTTTTGGGGGGGATTATTTGAAAAAAATAAGCTTGAGGCCAAATTCTTACCTCAGTACTATCGTAAAACAATCTCAATCTGTTTATCTCAGACTTTGATAAACATTTCATGTAATAACTTTCTCTGAGGGATCTTTTAGAGGCATTAAACTCCTCAGACATCTAGTCTTTATCGCCAGCACTGTACACAATTCTACTCTCTAAGTTTCTCTAGAATGGAACAGCTCATGTGAAACCACTGTAAATGACTTTGGGCCTCATTCACCAATATCTTAAGTTCTTTTGTTCTTGAGAAAAGTCCTAAGAAAACATCTATGTCAGATTCATGACGTGTTTTTAAACCGCAGAATTGTTCCCACTACTAATAGATTAAGTAAATAATGCTGATTATCTCATAACAACGGTGCATGTCAAGGTCTGGGATTTATTAGACAGTAAGCGAACAGCTGGTGTTCGTAGTCAGTGTGTTGGATCTGTAAGAAATTGGCAGACGTGAAGACCTGAGCGAATTTGACAAGCCAAATTGTCATGGCCAGATGACTTGGTCACAGCATCTCTGAAATTGCAAGGTATGTGAGGTACTCCTGGTCAGGAGTGGTGAGTACCCAATGGCAGTAGTTCAAAGCAGGACAAACCACAAACCGGCAACAAGGTGTTGGGTGCCCAAGGCCCATCGCTGGGCATCTGTGGCACAGGTTAAAGAAATTTTTAATGATGGCTACAGGAGGAATGTGTCACAACACACAATGGATCGCACCCTGCTGTATATAGGGCTGTGTAGCCGCAGACCGGTCAGTGTGCTCATGCTAACTCCTGTCCACAGTTGAAAGTGACTATGATTGGCATGTGAGCATAAGAAATGGATCAATGGAAGAAGGTTGTCCGGTCTGATGAGTGGCGTCTTCTTTAACATCATGTGGACAGCTCTATACGTGTGCACCGTTTACCTGGTGAAGTGATGGCACCAGGAAGCACTGTGGAAAGAAGATAAGCAAATGGAGGGAGTGCGATGCTCTGGGCAATGTTCCGCTGGAAAACTCTGGGTCTAGGCACTCATGTGGAAGTCAATTTGACACATGCCACCTGCCTAACATTGTTGTGGGACAGGTACACTCCTTCATGACAACAGTATTCCCCATTTGCAGTGGCCTTTTTCAGCAGGGTAATGCATCCTGCCACACTGCACACATTGTTAATGAATTGTTTGAGGAACATGGCGAAGAGTTCAAGCTGGCCCTGCCCTCAAAATGACCCAGATCTCAATCCAATTGAGCATCTAAGGGAGGTGGCAATGTGTTACTGGTTCTTTTGTGCTTGCTTGTACAAATGTGAGAGCTGAAACAGCTTAAAGCATAATTTAAGATGGTGCTAGTCTGCTGAAGCTATGGGTGGGCAATACAGAAAGAATAGCACATGATGATACTTCAATTTTCTTGATTCATGATGTGAGGTATCATGATATTTTGACACAAAGACAAACTGCTCTAAGAGTGTCACATGTAAAAAGTGCCATTAAAAACTATTAACACCATGGTTATTATTCAATATTTCACATACTGTACTGTAATAAATCAAAACAAACACAACCAAGTATTCTCTTTGTAACTAAACATACAGTTGGTCAGTGTTTATAAGTACTGATGATATGTATGATATGCTCAGAATGCTAGTGAATCACAATAACAATGATCACAATAATGAATCTAGTTGAGGGCACAAATTTTTATGTAATTATTGATATAAAGGAAATATGTCTTACTAATGATTCCCACCTGTGATGAGACTCATGTGTATTGGGATATCCAGTTCAAAATTAAGTCAGAAATTCATTAAAATATGTCTTTGTGATTATTTTGTGAATGTTCTCGTACTAATGTGATTCCACAGAACTGAAACATCTTTTTAATGGTGATGGTATGCTCCAGCCACAAAACCTCATGTGAATTGGTCAGGCAAAGGCAATAATTCTCGTTAATTCTTTATCTGATGTGGTTCCCCTACAGCAATGCCACAGCCATATCAAAATGGCCGCCCTCCTCTACAGGAATTGCAGCAGTGTTAGAGAGAGTTTTAGAAACTGCCTTTTTACACACAACACATTTCTAACTTTCCACTCAAACTGTTACCTACACACTTTATGGTCAAACAAATAAAACCTTTTAGTGACCTGAGGGAATTTTACAGCAACGCCTGATAACACAGGAGCCTTTGCAAGAGATGCGCGTGCACGAGCGGTGCGCAGCGCCGAGCGTTCCATCTTGGTTTCGCGCACTGTGATGTCACTCGCGTCCCTGAGCGACCGCCCTCGCTCCTCTCCTGAGCCAATCACGGACGCGCGTTCTGAGAGGGAGCGCGCACGTATAGCCGAGTATTACTGTGGCGGAACGGTGTCGCGCGCGCGCACGTACGTTCTGGAACGGGCAGGGTGGCGCGCGTACGTGCGCGTGCATGTGTCTTTGTGCGGCGGCGAGAAATAACACACAATAACGATGGCGGACGAGAAGCCCAAGGTGAGAGAGAATAAAAAAAAACATAATAATTAGAGTAAAATATTTGCAACCCACACGGCATATATGGTAATAGGAAAAAATAAATAAAATAAAAGAGAAAGACGTCGATACTTTGGTGTAAAATAATTCCGCTTAGTGGATAAATACTGCAACTGCTGCTTTAGAATCGCCGGAAGACTCGTGAACGCGCATATAGCATGTTAGCATCTTAGCTAGCGTACTAGCACGTTAATAGGCTGAAAGGCAATAGAATGAATGCGAGCGCTGGTCAGAGACCTTACTCAAGTTTTAGACAACATTTTAGCAGAATGTGGATAACTGTGAACAACAAGTATGCAGTGATTCATTCAGAGCAGTTAAACGCGTCGGTTTGAAAACTTGTACTCTGGTTTTCATCCGTTTTGTTGACTTCTGTCAGCATCACTCCTCCAGCTGTTTGGCTGTAGCTGCAGACAGACTGTTCCACTGAATCTGGCCGGTTATGTTGGGAGGCTGGAGTACTAAGGGAGGTTCTGTCTTCGGGACAGTTCTTTGCAAAGTCATAGTCTTGCGAAATTTGTTGATTCTGAGCCCGTTAGATTTCCAAATTGTACCTTTTTGCAAGGGATGGGGGTGGCTGTGGCTGTGGCTGTGTTGGCAGTTCTACAGCTGGTTAACGTTTAACAGTTAGTTGACTAACTAACAAACACTAACTAACATTTTTTTCACGAAGCTTAAGTTGACTTCTTCTTCGCCAGCTTCTTGTTTGAATATCCCATTCCACCTTAAACTGTGCGGCAGTTACTGGCGCGCGGCCGTAGGGGTCAAAATGTAACCGCCGTACCATTTACGGTGGAACGGAAAATTCGGAAACGGAGCCAACTTCAGCCTCGTCATTTATTCAACATCATAATTCTCTCAGCAGCTCTGTGGGTCAGTGGGACGAAAGGACGGGGACGAGTGTCCTAAAAACAAGATTTTTTTACAGTAAAATGCTGCTGTTCCATCTCTTGAGTTATCAGTACAGGAGAATATTTTTTATTAACTCTTTGCATGCACAGTGTTCTGGGCTAATTGCCTTTGTAGGCACGAACAAAACTCAAATCGCAAAGGGCCACAACAACACTAGCTTACATCACACCAAGCGTTTTTCTTGCTTAAAGGGGAACTACACAGATTTTTTAAGATGTCTGTATAAATCAGTGGCTGAAATGTAGAAAAACTCAGTGGTAAATGAGTTTTATAGTGGTAAATCTGAAAAAAAAAACAAAGTTTTCTTTGGGGACTGTTTTGCTAGAACACCCTGCATGTATCCCTCCACCATGAATAGATTAAAATAAATTGATTAAAAGGTGTTTTAGAGCAAAATGTTATTACAAAACTACTGTAAAACAATGCCTCAATCATCAGGCAGATTATTCATAACCACTTTCTGTGAGGGAGCTTTCAGAGATTGATGTCTGATTTCTGTCACCACCACTGTGAACAGTGGTGACTTTTTTCCATTTTAGCCATTAAATTGTACAGAAATTTTGAAAAATGTTTTGCATAATTCAACCATTGAAATGTAAACAAAGAAATTGAGAATGGTTTGATGTAAAAGTGTAAACTTATCAACTCAGACTCTGCAGTGGTGGTGATAGGAACCAGACGTTGCAATGTAAACATTACAGATACATATATATATATTTATACATCATATCTAAAAATATTTGCCAGCCAAAATGACCAGTGAACTTACACGTGTTTTCTGATCTTTATGCATAATGTTGATAACAGTTGTTAAAATAGTGGTAAACAAAATACGTTTTGCCTTAGAATACCCTGTGTTTAGCTCTCCAAGGCATTCTCAGAACTGTTGTAAAACAATGCCACATGCCTCAGGCAGTGCACTGTTACCATTCCATGTAGTAACTTTCTCTGAGGTAGCATTTAAATGCATTAAACGCTTCAAATGTCTGATTCCTGTCAAAAAAGTTTCTCTGGAATGGTGCATGTCACGTCAAACCGTTCCGAGGGGCTTCGTTTACATTTTAACCCTTTGATTTAATAAAAAAATTGTGGAATTTCTCTTTTTTCATTTTCATTTTACTGTTGAATCATTTACTATAGAGTTGATTCAAGTGTGTTAGAGTAGGGGAATGCATTGGCCAATTGCCAACTCTCTGATCATGACTTGGTTCATGAGTTCAGGTTTTTTAGATGTGAAACGGTACAGTGTTGTGGGCTCTGAAAGATTGGAATTGTCCACTTCAACCCCGACCTAGAACCATCGGTTAACTTAGCTTTTCGTATTTGTCATTTTTGTTTCTAAAGGATTTGCATGTCTGTCAGCGTTGTATACTGTATATGATGTGTGTGTTTGCAGGAGGGAGTGAAGACTGAGAACAACGACCACATCAACCTGAAGGTGGCGGGACAGGACGGGTCTGTGGTTCAGTTCAAAATAAAAAGGCATACGCCACTCAGCAAACTCATGAAGGCCTACTGTGAGAGACAGGTGAGCAGGCAGTAGGCATAACTGTCTGTGTGAATGCGGTGTTGTTTTATTCTCTTGTTAGTGTTTTCTACGTTTCATGTGGGTTTCATCCCTGTTTGTGGCCAGAGCCTTGATATCAGGTACGATTGCTACAATGCTAGCAACAGTGGTGAACCGTGACTGGTAAGAGTAGGCCTTAAGTTTGGGCATTATATGTGAAAACTGTCAGAAAAGCCTGTACAATGATGCTGGTTTCTGCTAGCGCCCCCTTGGGATCATCGTAGTATGGTTTCCATTACTGACAACTGACTAAAATGCACTGGTCAAGCTACCACTCATACTTGCAGTCAGCGATGTGTCTAGGTCTTCAGAAGGCCTATAGTGACATTTGTTTCTCAAAAAATTAGTCTGTCTATTATAAATCAAATTGTGGACTGACTGTATCTACCTAGATACCACAGAGATAAAAATCCTGATTGGATAATTTTCCATTGGATGTTTCAAGGATTTAACCCTTGTGTTGCCAACCAAAACCTAACAAATAGATAAGAGTAGTACTACAATACTTGCAGAGTTTAAATAAAACAAGTATAGTAAACATGAACTAAAAGTACAAACTTTCCTTATTTCAAATAAATTGTTTGGCCTTTTCTGAAGGCCTAGATGGCATTGAGGGTTCCCCACTGGCTAGCATTATACTGCACTACCAGTGGACACCTATAATGAATGTTTGTAAAAACAAAAGGAGCCAAATTGCCACTTCTGTCTTGTTCAGCGTAGCCATAGAGGTTTAAAAACTTGAAAAGTAATTTTATTGATATCAAGAATACCACACAAAGCATATGAAGCTATGTAATAATATAAATTATATAAATGACTCAAAAAACTGAAGTAAAACACAACTATAAATATAACCCCAAAACTGGTCACTGATTATTGATTAAAAACACGTCACAATTTATGTAAAAGCAAACAAATGAATGGGTGGTGGCCTATTTTGGTGATACCATCATCAGGTGTTCAGGGTTAATAAAATAATTTTGAAAAATGAGCCTAAAAGACCAGTACAAAAAGGAAGCTTGACATAATGTTCACACTCAAACATTATTGTACTTGTAAAGTGAGCCAAAATGAATGGATGTATTCTCTGTGGGAGTTCTATTCTGAGCACTTAATGTAAGGAGGCATGGCTTGAGGGTACTTCCTCATCCTAAGAACAAAAGCCCTGCCATCCTGGGCTCTCCTCCAGCATTCACCTGATTTTATCTCCACCAACGTGATGTCCTAGTGATAATTCATGCTGTCCAAAATTTTCTTCATCAGGGCATTTCCCTGATTACCTAACCTGAGGTCAAAAGTCAGTATTAGAATTCACCCTGGCTGTCATTATTAGACCTTTATGTAGGCCTCCTGGTGGCCTTTCTGCCAGCGGAATTTAAATCGACTTGAGATTGTTTTCAATATAATTACAGATAGTAATAATAGTTTTTAATTAATAGTTTCCTTCAAAATATAATGAAAATGAAATTAAAATATTGTTAAATAGAATTTAACAAAAAATATGAAAATTTAAGGCTGGACTGAGGGACTTTTAAAACAGGCTGAAATTTTGTATCTACTCTGAATAGGGATTCCCTCCTAGTTCCCCCATGATGTGTATGGGATATGATATAATTTATGATTTGAATTTGATGAAAATTTTGCCGTGTTTTGTCATTTTTAGACAATTAAACAAACAGAAACGCCAGAAGTAATACAAAATATGTAGAATGTAGATTGAATGTCAATATATGTCAATGCATGCTAATGTAACTAACTAATGTAACTAAGTAATATAATCACTCATGTAGTTGAGCTGCTATATACACTATTTTGTTAAGTCAGAGAGCATCCTTTATTTATGAAATGTTTAGTCAAAACATATTTAAGTACGTCAGCCAGTTTTCAGCACAAAAAACAGGAAATTTTACAGAAATTTAACAGAAAATGATACAGAACCCTCAACAACTATTTTTTTTTCAGTATTTAGTGTGTTCACCCTTATTACAGCTTCTGTTATTTTCAGGAGACTTACTTTAAGTTTTAAAGAAATCTGTAGGAACACTTTTCCATGCCTCTCAAGTTCAGTATTGGAAGTTGGTTGCATGGAGTGGTCAGTCAATTTTGCTGAGAGCACCAGCAGCTTTTTTGATTTGCAAAAGTGTTTTTTATTTATTTATTTTTTGGTCGGTTTCCTTTTCTCTGTAATGGCTTTTTGTCAGCTACAACTTGTTTTAGACATGAAACATTGAGTTGTCTACTCGCAGGGAAAGGATGGACAGAAAGAGTGAAACTTTTTTTTTTCCCTGTTTATCAAAGATGAACACTTTCAGTACTGTTTATCTGATGCCAAAAGTATAGGAATCCCATTTTCTCTGTAACTTTTAAACTTTAGTTTTGGAAGTTCCTTTTTATTCCCCCACCTATTTTCCTTTGACCTTTCTCTTCCTTATGCAAGTGGATTTTTTGTCTTACATAAAATCTTCTCATAAACATCCCCTGAAGAGATGCTATCATGTTGTGGGCCACTAACGTACGGAGTTAAGATGGTGCAAGTATCAACATGCTTCTGCAGGCCAGCAAACATGTGTTCTTGGCTAGGCTGCTGCACCTAATCTTATTGTGGGCTGTCTAAGTAATGGATTGCGGTGCTATGAGGGCGGCCCCGGCAGTAGAAGTAGGACGCTGCTTGTTTGGGAAAGCAACACTGTGTAGCTGAGCTTTTTGATCGCAAAGAAATGAAAACTGTGCTGGCAGTCGCGCTGTTCAGTGGAACTGTCATCAGGACAGCACTTCACAGCTGCTCTGTGCTATGTGCCTGGTAGCAATATGGAGTTTTTGTATTTATAAAGTAAGCATCTCTCTGTAGGGGTACTGATAAGAATAATATATGTCTCTTGTCTCTTATGACAGTCATCTTAGTTGAGACCAGAAGTGCTACTGTCAGGCAGTTATGCCTATCTGGCACACAGTGTTTCAGATAAGACAGGGATGGGACTTCTTGATGCACACTGGTGGGCTTCACATTGTCTGTAAACACAACTCGTATGTGCAAAGTAGGACCTGACTGATGTTAACATTTTGACAACAATACAGATTTTAAAGAGTTAAAAATCCTGATAATTCCACTAAAATCCACTGATATAATTTAATATGGTCAAAAATTAAACATGACCCCAATATTTAGGTAAACCATGCTGATATAAATAAATAACAGGTGAATAACACAGGTAAATAATGTAACTTCTCTCACAATATTGAATTAAGTTCAGCATATCACATTCTTGAATTTTCTTCTCTAAAAAAAATGACACATTATTGGTGCTTTTTGGATTTCTGTCAATGCCAATACGTCTGTGGAACCTTAATACTAGTATTAAAGGGGAATTCCACCGATGTTTCTGCATAATTGAACTCTTAAGCTGTTAACAAAGCCATTCAGAGTGGTTTAATGTGAAATGGTTCAGTGTAACCATCTCCAGTGTCTTTGTGGAGGTGGTGAAAGGAGCTAGGACTCATGATGTACAATACAAATATAGCCATTTTATTTACTATTCAAAAGTACCAGTGATCCAGAATGTACCTACTGAGTTTTATGTGTAATGTGGATAATGGTAAAATAGTGGTAAAACTGAAAAACATACTTTTTCTTTGGGTACTATTTTGCCTCATAACACATTCATGTACCCTTTTTACCATGAAGGTGCTTTAAAAATATGTTTTAGGCCAAAACTTAATATGAAAACTGTTGTAAAATAATGTTTTAGGCAGGCATCAGACTGCATATCTGTAACCATTTCATTTAAAAACTTAAGGGAGATTATATAGGCATTAAACTCCTTAGAGGTCTTATTCGAGTCACCACCTCTGTGAACAATTCTGACTTTATAATTTTCTCTGACCACTCTGAATGGCTTTTTGACATCTTCATGAATCAATTACATGGAACATTTTAATATCAGTGGAATTCCACTGTGTTGAGATGCTGTTCAAGGGGGCAAATAGATAAACTAATCAATCTCTGTATTTTTTGCAGGGACTAACGATGAGGCAAATCCGATTCCGGTTCGATGGACAGCCCATAAATGAGACAGACACACCTGCACAGGTATGATAATACTTCTTATAGGAACATTTCCTGTTTCACGCTTATTTACTGTCACACTTGCCAGCTGCCTACAGGGTGGATGATAGGGATGAATATTTATCAGAAAGTTGTTGTAAAAGTGCTGATCTAGGATCAGGTTTTGTTTTTTTACATCCTTATAAATACACATATATAGGCCTGCATGTTGTAGGTCTGTTGTTTACACTATATATTGATGATTAGCTTATCTACAAATGCTCAGATTGTTAACTCTGAAACTTTTAATAGCATTAGAGTTAGGGGTTGAGGTTGGGGTTAGAGTAAGTTGGGAATGGCAAGTATGATGATATGTTATTGTCATAAACAGTTATGCCACTATGCTTCTCTTATTATATGATGAGTATCCTCAGTACTTCTGAAACACTGTGTATCTGAATGTATCACATTTTTATTTAGAACAATAGCATAATTAGCTTAAATTGGCATGAAGTAGCCTAAACTTCAAATAGCTGGTAGCAGCCAGTCTATCATGCCATTGTCTGTTCCGCAGTTGTATTTTGTCCATTCCACCTTCTTTAGAAACTAAACATTGATAAATAAAGCGTATCATGAAAAAGTCTTCAAATATCATAATGTTATACGTAGGGAAAATTTTAAAGTGAATCTAGTAGATATTTAGTTGAATGTCACTTAAAGAGAGCGTGCATCTACAAAGCACTTACAGTGGACCATTAAAATAAATTGTCACTGGTTTGTTGAAACATTATGGTTTATTGAACAGTAAATCCCTGCACTGTTCCCTTGGGATTCACCAGAAGTCCAACTGCTGACTCTGTGTGTTTAACAATACAAAACGACATCTGTCAGTTGCAAATGGACTGATGTTAATGCCTCCTCATTTCTTTTCAATTTTACAACACAAAGGAAGTCTGCCATTGTGCAGGCCCTTGTCTGTCTCGTGATCAATAAACACAATCAATAGATCAATAGAGCTGGAAGGCTCACGCCACCCATTATGAACATAAAGCCTGGAATCCCGCTGGCAGCTTAATGTGATATTGCGTTATAGTAGCATGAAGTATGGAGGGGGAAAAAAGAATATAAAGTTTGGAATATGGCATGTTAAGGGTATCAAAGAGCCCCAGGAATCCTGAGTGAAGCTTTTTAAGTGTGACAGAGGAGATACTGCGGCACAATATAGACAAAATACTAGTATTGTGATTATGTTGCTGCATAAAAGACTAGTATTGTGGTTATGCTACATGCCTTGCAAGCACATTGGCCAAGCACACAGTGTGACATGATTAAAGACTGGCCTTTGTTATTTTGACCAAAATAGTTCGCTTTGGTTGGAGGATTCATCAAAATGGAGCTGTAATTAGTTAGCATGCTCACAGCACACAGTAAATCCAGTATGGTTAGAGGGCTCATTTGTATACTTTATTCTTTCGCTATATCGATATTGCAAAATAATGATGACCAACCAATATATTGGGCAGCCCTATATCCTGCACGTTAAACATTCAGAATGTCACCGCAGCTCCTGGAGAAAGGAACATGGTTCTCATGCATCTTCTTTTTCTTCCACAGTTGGAAATGGAGGATGAAGACACAATTGACGTTTTCCAGCAACAGACAGGAGGTTTCATCTAAGCGCGCCAACTTTTACCACCCCCACTCCCTTTCTCCTTCTCTTCCTCCCTCCCTCCTTCCCCCTCTTCCTCTTGCTCACTGCCTTCCTCCCTCCCTCCCTCCCTTTCCCCCTTCCATCTTGCTTTCTCTCTGCTATATTATCTTTCTTCCCTCACAGTTATTCATGACTGCTGTTGTATAGTGTGTTTTTTATTAAGATGAGTTGGACTTTCCTTCCTTCATTTTTGTACATAAATCATTTCCTCTACACACACATAAAATATTAAGCTGGCAGTGTTGAATGCTGTGAGATGTGAAACATGTCAAGCCCCAGCCGTTCGGAAGAGGCGATCACAGAAACTCCCGGAAAATCTGTCAAAGGCCCAGCTCCGTCTGCTAAGGGTTTGAACTGCTGAAGCTGCAGATGTTCAGGGAGAATTTTTTTTTTTAGGTAGAGGATATGTATTCAAATCCTTTTCACCAAACAAGGCAAATCGTCTAGTGTAGCGACACAGTTATGTGTTAATAAACACATACACCGGTATACTGCTCATTTAGCAGAGGCTTTCAGGCCACCTTTCTCTAGTGCTCTTAAACAACCCCCGTATTCTGGTGTTGGATTGAGTTTTACTCTTCACCCCTGTAGCAGGGGTACTACAAATCTGTATTCATTGATTAGTGAGCTAAGCAGGTCATTTTAAGGTAGTTTCTAAGTCGAAACAAAGTACTGTGGTTCTGTTTACTGCTACCTTACACTGAACCTAGCTTTAGTTCACTAACCCATAGTGTAAGCCACATGGAAAATGAGGTTAGCAGAGTTGGTTTTACATTTTATAGTGGTAGTTTGGTTTGGGATGGAGAGAAAACTGTACCATATTATGCGTGAAGTTGGTTTTTGGAGCTGGGACTGAGTCCATATTCACTAAGCCAAGAGAAGGTTATGATTATTATTATCTAGCTACATTTTCTGTTACCTGTTCTGGACAGATTGTTTTTTTTTTTTCGATTGTAGTAGATATGTGTTAGAGTAAAAGTTGTCACGATTGAGTAGGATATATATGAATAACGATATGTTTCAGTCAAGGTAAGCATCTGTATTGTCTAATAAATCACTTGTTAAAATAAAACGATTCTCTTTTTACCAGACATTTGGGTCATTTCTTCTAAAAACGAATGCGATCATTGAAAAATCGTGGTGGTCTTTGAATTGAAGCATCATGGGTACAAATAACGGTTCATAGTTATTCTTTGAGGCATGCTTTATGTGACACATATCGTTAAATAATCATTTTAAATGTGTTTAGGTTTTATCTGCGTGAATTAAATGTATTGGATGGATTAAAAATCAACTAAGTAGCTCGTTTAAGTGTGGTACAGTAATGGACGCTGCATTAACCGTTAAACGTCTGTCATTAGGTGAACGGAGGGGAAAAATGTGATTTGGAGTGACAGTTCAGTCTTCCAATCAGAGACGGCATACTCTAGCTGCTGGCCAATCACACGACACGGATTCCCTGGTGGGCGGGGCCGTGTGGGCTCGAGTGAACTCGAGCGAACGCTGCTTCTTGCTCAGATTCCAGTTCAGTCGAAGTCGGGCGGAGTCCATGCGGACAGCTGGGGGATAAAGGACTTATTTAGACGGTTTTTTTTCACTGGCTGAAAGATTGCAGGACAGCGAATTTACCCCGACAAGATGACGACGACGACCACTTTCCAAGGGCTAGACCCCAGCGCGAAAAATAGCTCCAGGTAAAAAGGAAGCAGCTTTAGCTAAACCGCTCAAGCAAACAAAAGAAAATTGGATCCAGGGCAGTTGGACAGCAGCTAGAGGAGGAGGAGGAGGAGGAGGAGGAGGATGAAGGAAGACGACGACGATGATGATGATGCCAGTTCATTTGGCATGGTGCTGTTATCTGGTACCTATGATGAGACTATAGAAAGCGTAGGCGACTGAGGTTGTATTTTACTGTCAGCTTATTTAGCTGAATGACACGTTTCTCTGCTGTCTGTCATCTAGTCTATTGAAACAGATTGTGCTCCTCTGAGCCAAGCAGCCATGGCAAGGGCAGTAAATCTGAATCCTGCTCCTGTAGTCCACCCGTTACGGCACATTTTTACTGTCTTATCTGCTCTGACACCGTCAGAGCAGCAAAAAGCCCTGCATGAGGTAAAATGGGTGTGTTATGGCAGGAAAAACACAAAAATGGGCAGTGCAGAGAGTCTATAGGAGCAGCACTGATCCACCCTATATTGCTGCCTTTTAATTCGAGATTTTTCCTCTGCAGCCTAAGGCAGACTGCCACTAGCAAATAGACATTTGATTACGTATGGAAGATTTAATAAAACTCAAAAATCAAAAGTTTTGCCTCTCTCTAAGCTTAGCTAAGAAATTCCCTGGCATTCTGCCACTCTGCTCTTTCCTCTTCATTTTTGCTGCTTCAGTGATCTGACTGGATTTTTCCAACAAACTTTGGTGGAAAGGGAACATTCATTATCTAATCTCCATTCTGCTGTCATAGGAAGAAGAAATGACTATATATTGTTTGGTACTGACATTAGTCCAGTTCTGTCCTCCATTGGCCAGGCCTGGTTGAGAGGCCCTGAACCATCTATTGTCCTTTTATGGGTTTGGCTACGTGTTGGACTTATTACATTCACTTTCACCCAGCCAGTTGTCTTCACTGTTAGCCTGGCTGGCCACAAGTATTCACGTTATAGACACAGGGTTGTCTTATATAGCTATCTCAGTATTTTGCTTAGGGCCGCACTGCCAACTTTCTGATGAGGCTGCATGCTGGATCCACTGAGGGGTTTTCCAGAATTTGAATAAAAGGAAAAATGTTTTGAACATGTCAAACAGCTCTTATCTTACTGTATTTTTAAAATAGGAATGTCTTATTTAACCTGTAAGCTTTTAGACTGAAGATAACTGGATCAGCTTGGTGCAACATGTTGATTTCTGGGTTGGAATTCTTTGCCAGTCAAAATATGAAAAACAGTCAGATTTGTCTGCTCTGTTCAGCATATTGGATCTTCTCCCGATCCTGAATCTAATCTAATGCTGTGCTGGACATGAGGCCAGCAGAGGGAATGAATGTAGGTCGCACCCCAAAGCCCCACTCAAGTCATTTTGCTGCTTCTTTCAAACAAATGGAACACCCTTATCAGCAAGAGGCTTTAAACCGTCTCCTGGCTGGAATATGGCACGGCATGCCACCTTTGAGTTGTCTCCTTTCGGAGGGAAAAATAATCTGCTGTTTCATGGTTGGGTGGGGTCTAGAGAAAAGGCAGGCAGGGCAAATAACGGACTCTACCGAGCAGGAGGTAAAGGCTAGTAAAGGTATTATGATTAAAGCACCGTCCAGACAGTGTTTTTCGTAAATCCGTGTGTGCCCCCCCACCCATCTGCTAAGACTTTTTGTCCCCCCCCCCAACCAAAGGATAGCCTGAAGTTAGGCTTTGGAGTGCTGCTGGACCTGGAGGACAGCTGCCTGGCTGTCAGCTGTCAGGTCCGGCATGCAATAAAGAAGGGGGTGGTGTTTTCCTTTAAATCAAACTCCATTTCCGGCCCCTTAACAAAGTTAATCACGGCTGGAGTGTTCATCAAGGCTAACCATCAGAACCCCCAGAGCAAATTTTTGGTTGCTTGTTCTGTTGCCCATCTGACATATGGGACGAATGAAAACCATCCAGCAGCGGAATCTCCACTTGGTGCTAGCAGACGGGGTCGGCTCCAGTCAGCTGTAGGGTATGCATGTATGTGACAGAAGGGCTTAGGGAGTGGAGACCCTCCCATCTTATGCTAACTCTGTTAATGCTAGGCAGTGTCCCCTGCAGCAGTCAGTCATCTCTGGGGTGTGTGTATATGTGTTTGTTTTCCTACATAATAAGAACGAATAATGTTCGGACTTTGAAAAGTTAATAAAACTGAAAGGGCAAGTCTGCTTCTTATTAGTTAGGAGGTTAAGATTAGGGCTCAAAAGATTCTTATTACAAATAGGTACACACACATATATAATAGATGTGGGATATAATATTACTACATGAAGATACTTACATATATGTAATAAGCCGGAATATACATATACAGTACTGTGCAAAAGTCAGAGACCACTCTTCATTTGTTGAATTTCTAGTCAGATTAGAGGTTGGTTACATTTGTGCTTCTCACCATCCAAGTAAACCCAAACACAGTCAGTGATGTTGAGGTCTGGCTCTGGCTTCTTTACAGCTACACATCCTTTTAGACCCATAGTGTTGAGTTGTCCTCTCACAGTGGAAGGATGGACAGAGACACCTGTGGATTTTTTCAGCTCTGAAGTAAAAGTGGAACTTGATTCTCTCCTCTCTCTCAAAGATGGAAGCTTTAAGTGCTGTTTATCTGCTAGTGACATTTTTGGGGTCCACCAGGTCTTGCACAGTTGTTAGGATTCCCGTTTTCTGTATATCTTTTAATAATTTTTTGAATTCCAGTTCTGGAAACTCTATGTACTTTATGGTTGTTTAACCTGGAAATTGAATAAATGAAGGGTGATCTCTGAATTTTGCACAGTACTGCATGCAAGTAATAACATATATATTATTACTTTCATATGTATAATGCATGTGGAACATATGTATAACCCCACTGGCACTGTATAAAATGTGTGTGTGGACACCAACCCTTCTTGTGGTAATTCTGTTAAAGCTGAGCAGTGTAGGCAGATGATTCCAGCCAGCATCCCCTGCAGCTGTTTTGTTCTTTTAATGTCAGCGTGACCACAAATCTGTGACAGCGTCCGTGTTTTTTTTCTTTGTCCTGTGCAAAAGAACTCTGACTGTGTGTCTGTCAGCTTGGTGATTTTTATATTTTTCCAAATCACATTCATAGATTTCCACACCCAGATTTGGTCATGTCCAATTTGCCAATTCTGTTGAATTCCATCATGTTAAAAGTAAATTTGGACTCAAGTCAGATGTAAACTTTGGGCTTACAGTCAACCTTAAATGAAAATTTAATGTCCCTAGTGAACACGCAGCTAGCAGCTACACCAGTGGTCAACAACCCTGCTCTGCAGAGTCTAGTTCCATCCACAATCTGCCACACCTGCTCCAGCTGATTAACTTTTCAGAAGTCCTTAATTGGATGGATCAGATGCATTATTATTTAGTAAAGGGGAGGGGCATGTCAGATGCAGATTGGT